TTTTCTATTTTCCTTCATTACACGTGACTTCTGTTAACCTCTAATACCTTCCTTTTCTCTACTGCAACAGCTAAAAGATGTTTTGTTTCTCTGGTTTTGCTTCTTTTAAAGTCTTCCATAGCAATATAAATATAGTCTGAGCCTCTAATTATGTTTCTGTATGTGGCTTTGACTTTTTTTTTTTTTTTATCCCCTTAGGCCGCCTGCAAGCATTTTACCTTTTTGGCTGCAGTGTTAATTTCCTTTAAGTTCCTCGCTTTATGTACTTTCCCTTTTAAAAACAATTTTACACAATGGATTTTTTTTTGTTCTTGTTTTCTCTAACTATTTTGAATATGAGCATGCTTTAATCCCTGTTACAGCCAGGGTATTAAAAAAAAAAAATCCTCTTTCTTTTAAGTTTTCTAAGTAGTTGCTCCAAAAGGCAGATTTTTCTGATGTCTGAAAATGTAACCTCAGCATCACAATCCAATGCAACACTTCCTTTGTTCAAATGGGGAACTCAAATCTCCCTTTCTTACGGCACTGCTTGTCCATGCAGATCTGGTGGAAGTGAGTGCATCATTCCTTAGCGGTTGAGGTTGGGGACTCAGCAAATTAGGAAATTCTAGTTTACTTCATCTCTACCAGTCACCTGCTTGTAGGGATCCTTCCTTAATCCTATAAAAGTCTTTGAAAAATCCAGAGTAGTGTGAACACCTCCTCAGGAATGACATGATTATGCTACTTTTGATTATGTGTCATGTACATGTGGTATCATATATTATTGCTTTTTTCTTTCAGTTATTATTATCTCAGTGTTCCCAGTAAAACTGTTCAATATAACAGCATTTTTTTTCATCCACTAAATTCTTTGAAAAAGCCTAGGCGTGCGTGCGTTGTACCATAGGTACAAGCCTATGGTACTGTCTGCATCATACATTTGTTTACAACAGATTAGAGTGGATTGCAATTTTTTTTAAGTGTTGATGAAATTTGGTATTGACCTTTTGAATTCTGATGGGAGATAATACTTTCAAACAGGTCTTATTGATTTTGAGTAAAAAGCAGAAATGATGCTTCAATCTTGTGTGCGACACGCTACATTTTTCCTGCATGTCTTGTATTTGTGTGTGTTGTGAACAGGATAGATGAGGTTCTGTAACAGAACATGCAAAAGCTTTCAGCAGCACTAGTTACTCGGCTTACGTAGATCAATTTAGTAACATCATTTCCACACTGCTAGGCTAATTTACAGCAGCTGAGGTTCTGGGCATCTATCCTTTTATTATGTCTTGACTTTTCTAGCACATAGATTAAGCAACATTTGATAGCCATATGCTTCATGTAATGTGCCAGTAGAAATAGGACCTAGAAGGTGGAGTGTGGGAAGAGTGGGAATAATTGCAAATGTGTATTGTTGGATTTTATTGACTTCAAAATGTGGCAAAAATACAATGTCAGCTTCTCTATAAAACAAGTCCTCCATGTGGAGTCAAGACATACAGTGAGGTCTGGTAAAATAGTAGTAAACACATCTTAAAATACTGTGGTTTTAGTTGGTTGCATTTTCCTCTAAGGTTATATTTTAAAAACTTTGCAGCGAATACGTGATTACGCAAAACTACTATGTAAATGTATATGTAATGCATCAGTGCTGTGAAGTATGTTTGAGTTGTCATGTTTTACTTCAGCATCTATGAACAGGCAGAAAGCTTTTCACCAGCTACACCATGGAGGAAGATGGTGAGCGCCTCTTGTAGCCGACCTCTGTTGCATTGGCATAGTTAAGAAAGCTGTAAAATAGATACTGCTGAGGGTCTGATTTTGCAAAAACTGCCTGGGTAAAGTGGTGATGGAATTTCGGCTTCCGCTGGGTGTTTTGGTGATTGGTTAGTGTGCATCCTCCTCAGGAAATGCAGTGAGGAGCAAGTGTGAGTAATGCAGAAAGCAGTCACAGGGTAGTGGGGAGGAAGGTGGATGAGAAGCCAGAGCTCCCATGGGAAACTCAGCTGTGCAAACGGCATCACGCGTCTCACCGTGCCCATGTGTGTGATGGTTTCTCTCGTGTGCGTAGCAGAGGGTTCCTTTTTACCTTTGGCTTCAGAACTGAATGATTTCTGTTTTTAAGGGCAGGGGGACGTTGTAGTAAATTGTAGGAGAAAATATGCGTGTGTGCAAACTTCTTTCTGCAAGTTTCAAACAGTTTGGTTGGCAAAACTCGAGTACTTGGTAAACTTTAGTGTAGTGTGGAGTTCAGTGAAGAAATACAGTAGCATGACACAAAATGTCTCTTGGGCTGTGGAAGATCACTTCTGTGCTGCTTCTGTTCTTTAATACTGATGAATATAATAGTTCTTTAATACTGATGAACTGATTGCTGTTCTTTTCCTATGTTTAGGTTAGAGACAAGTCATCTAGCAAGTTCTTTTCTCTGTAGGTTGCCCTAAAATAACTGTTACTTATGTGGATACCAACCATTCTGTTATGACAGCATTATCAAAACTTCCCATCTCAAAAAGCCACCACTTAATGATCACTTTTAATGTTTATGTTCATTTAGAGCTTCTTATTGCAGAGTCCCTGACCTGATGACCAGGTGTGAAAAATGATGCCATCATATTACTGATTTCATTACATACCAAGAAATAGTTTAAAAAAAAAAAAAAAAAAAAAAGTTAAAAAATTAATCAAGATTTCAGATCCACATAAATAATTTCTCCGCAAAATTTATTTTGCCAAATAAATGGATGCTGGTTTTACTGCTGAAATAACAGTTATCCTTGGAGTCTGAAGGCACTGAAATATAGCTTAAAGCCGCTGTGTTTTTCTTGGCAAGAGGCTGCCTTGGTAAGCAAGGCTGCATTTGCTCACCACGGCACTAGACTCGGAGCTGCTGTGCTTACTGCCCTCATTTCCTTATGCGTGCACTTCTGGGTGCTTAGTGCTTTTAAACCTAAATAACCTCATTAAAGCGTAATGACCTTTCCCTAATCATTTCTTCATATGGCATAGCCTTATTTCTGGAGGCTACGCAGAGAGGGTTGCGGGCGGCTCGCGGCGCGCTCGGGGGCTGCTGGCCGGAGGCTTCCAGTAGAGGGGGTGTGGTGGACGCGTCCTCCTCGGTGCAGGGCCGAGAATCTCC